ACAGACACCACGCTGTCCCTCTCCAACTGGATGTGTGTGGAAGATATCTATGCCAACATCTTCATCATCAAGTGCAGCCGTGAGACGGAGAAGGTGGGCCTCCACGGAAGCGGGGGGTGCATGGCGGAGCTGGGCCTCCGCGAGTCTTCTGTCTTGAGGGCTCCTTCCCCAGGACGATTGCTGTAGTCCTAGCGAGCATGATGGGCCTTCAGTAGGATAACAGGAGGCTTTATGGAGAAGACCTGGGGTGCCCTGAGCTGACCGTTAGCGCCCCTCTCCCCCTGCAGAAGTACCCACAACCCAAGGGTCAGAAGAAGAAGAAGATCGTCAAATATGGCATGGGAGGCCTCATCATCCTCTTCCTCATCTGCATCATCTGGTTCCCGCTGCTCTTCATGTCCCTCGTGCGCTCCGTGGTGGGTGTGGTCAACCACCCCATCGATGTCACTGTGACCCTCAAATTGGGGGGCTATGAGGTAAGAGGAGCTGCCTTGTGGAGAAGCAAAACTGCAGGCCACCCAGTTCCCAGAGGCTGATGGACCACAATTCCCAGCACCCTCTCAGCTGGACGTTGCCGCCTCTCAACGGCCCATGTTGGCTTTCACAGACCGATGGGCTGAGCTCTTGTAGCAGTTGCAGCGCTTGGCTCTGGGCAGGTTGAATCACCCCCAGCTCCTCTGCATCTTGGGGGCCTCTCCCTGTCGACGGTCCCCCCCCCCCCGTGGCAGCTACGAGAGCCGTGCTGTTGAGGCGGAGTGTGTGCAGGAGGGATCAGGATTGACGGTGCCCCTAAAACTGGATCCCCTTCTTTCCTCTTCAGCCCCTCTTCACCATGAGTGCCCAGCAGCAGTCCATCCAGCCTTTCACCCCGCAGGACTACGAACAGTTGACCAATAAGTTTGAGCGGCAGCCGGTGAGTCCTAGCCGGACATACGGCAGGAGGGAGGGGGAATCCTCTCCTTCAAGTGGGTGGGGGACCGGCACCTCTGCCCCGTGAAAATAGAAGGAAGCCCCGCCCTGGTGGGCTGGGCCTGAGCGGGGGGGGCTACCACGCTGTGCCCCGCTGACCTGGCCTGGGACTCTCTGTCCTCCCCGCAGCTCGCCATGCAGTTCATCACCCAGTACGGCTACGAGGACGTGGCCTGGGCCCGCATTGAGGGCAGCTCCGGATCCCTGTGGAGCATCAGCCCGCCCAGCCGTGAGCAGCTCTGGCAGGAGCTGCACAATGGCTCCTCGGACATCACCCTGCGCTTCACCTGGAACTTCCAAAGGTACTTCAGGCCAGGACCGGAAGTCCCCCCTTGCAGGGCGGTGCCCTGGCTGCTTTAACCAAGGATATGCCCCCTTTCGCTTGGCCTGGAACAGCCCTGCGGAGCTCCGAAGGTGGCTTCTTCTGGCATTTGAAGGCTTAAGAGAGGAATCTCCAACCTTGGCAGCTTTAACGCTGGTGGACTTCAACTCCCAGAATTCCTCATCCACCCAACGCTGCTAAGGAATCCTGAGCGTTAAAGTCCACAAGCCTGAAAAGCGGCCGAGGTTGGAGATCCTGGCTTAGGGGGCTGTGGGTGCAGAAGAGCTCTGGGGATGGAGAGGGCGACGAAGGGACCCGAAAGCAGAGGGTGGATCCTCCTCCTGCCTTTCCTTCCACTTCTCCTTGATCCCCAAAGTCCTTTCCTTCCTCCTCCTCCTCCTCCGCAACCGCCAGGGATCTCAGCAAAGGAGGGAAAACGGAGTACACCTCCCAGAAGCACACCATGGACCTGAGCCAGAAGAGTCTCGTGAGACAAAATTTGGCCGGGATGCTGCAGGGCACCCATCGTGCCCCTGTGTGAGTGTCGTCCCCCCCTGCCCCTCCCATCAAGGCACCCATGGCCAGGGGGTGAACCAGGTGGGGAAAGGGCCCCCCAATTGCAGGGGTCTCAATTCACAGCCTGCAAAGCCCGAGGAACAGAGCGGCTCCGCCACCCGTGTGCTTTCAGGCTGCTTTCTCTTACCGTCTCTTCTCCTTGTTCCAGGCGGATAGCCCACCTCTTCCCACCCTACATACGGGCGCCCAGCGGCCCCGAGGCAGACCCGGTTGAGCCCCTGCTCCCAGGTGAGGACACCAGACAGAAACTGCTTTGCACAGACTCGGGGCTGATCGTTTAACTCCCCAGTTCCTCCCTCTGCGTGGAGGGGGGTTCCTGGTGCTAGCTGGAAAACAATCCAGGGGGTCAGAACTCGTCCCCCCCCCCCCAGCAGAAATGCCAGCACGCTTTCACAAGAACAGCCGGGACATGGGCGCATTTCTGGCTTTTTCAGGTGGGAGCAGGAACAGGAGGCCAATGGCTCCGTTTCCCGGTCCCTAAAAAGGCCACAATCATGCCACGGGTTGGCAGGGCGGTTTTCCAAGTAGAGAGAGCAGCGTGCCTTCCACGTCTGCTTTCCTGCTTGCTTTTGAAAGAGAGCTCCAAAATGAGTGTTGTGCAAAGGAATTTTGTTCCTGATTTTTGGTGGCACATAGTTTGAAGCCACAGTAAGAACGGCAGAAGATATTAAAAAGGTCAAATGAGCAGATAAATCTTCGATGCCACGCCTAAACTTCGTTGCCCAGAAGATCATTGGCTGCCCTCTCCCCTCTTTGGAAGAGCTTTAGAGCTCCTGCTGCCCTAAGAAAGTTCAAAATATCCTTAAAGATCCATCTCATCCTGGGCCCTCGTTTTCTTTTTTTTTTTTAAACTATTACCATCTGGCAGATGGTACAAGACAATGAAAAAAACAAGGACAACCAGGCTGAAAAACAGCTTCTATCCCAGGGCAGTAACTCTATTGAATTCTACTGTATAGTGCAATATTAATGCAATATCGGGCGGTTTCAATTCAATTGCATAGAATGTGAAGGATGTGTGTTTGTATTTATTTTCATAGCCATAACATACACTGAAGGTGGCATTTAATTTTGTTGTACGAGGTGCAATGACAGTAAAGTAAACTAAACGGAGCAATTGGGGCTGGGAGGACTCTAAAGAAAACGGGGAGCAACTCGTGAGGAAGAGCTTTCTCGGCATCTCTGTGTGTATAAGCGAGGCGGTCTCCTTTTCTGCGCCTGCTTCCCTCTCCCGCTCTCCTCTTCCAGACGGAGAAGACAGCTACCTGGATGTGGAAGTGCAGCTGGAGCAGCAGCGGGTCAGGCCCGGGAACAGCAGCACCAGTTTCCTGGAGTGGTGGATGATCCAGCTGGCGGAGTGCCAGGCCGAGTGCCAGATCCTGCCCATGGTCATCTTCAGCGACAAAGTCAGCCCTCCCAGCCTGGGCTTCCTGGCAGGATACGGGTGAGTGACCCACCCACCAGCCCCGGACCATCAGGGCGGACGCAAGAGTCACACAGGAATAGGCTGGCTTGGATGCAAGGAAGGAGCAGGAAAACTGGGCCTAAGAACCCCAGGAAAGGAGGGAAACCTCCCCGCCCAGTTGAATGGGGGAGGGGGCTGGGCTCCCCTGGCCCACTTGGTTCCCCCACCTGGCAGCACTTGGAAGAGGGTCCAACGCTGCCCCTTTGTGTGTGAAATGCCACCAAGGAGGGGGGGTGGTCCCCAATCTCCCTCCCACCTCGCAGGGCCACCTTCAAGCTTTTCTAAGGTTAGGGCGCCTCCTGATACGGCCCTTCAGGCGCAGACGAGAGAGGCGAAGGTTGGCCGTTCGGTCCCTCGTCAAGACTTCCTCTGGATCAGCTAACGGCTGAGATCACCCCCCCAGGCTGAGCCACGGGATCAGGGCTTGCAGATCCCCGCCGATCCTGCTCAGCCGGCCCGCTGGTGGGTGGGGGGGGGGGGGGGTGGGGGGGGGGGGCCGGGGGGGGGGGGGGGGGTGGCGAGGGGGGGGGGGGGTCTGCGCAGGGGCGCTACACAGGGGGACCTTTCTCTGCTCAGGATCATGGGTCTCTACGTCTCCATTGTGCTGGTGATCGGCAAGTTCGTGCGAGGCTTCTTCAGCGAGATCTCCCACTCCATCATGTTTGAGGAGCTGCCCTGCGTGGACCGCATCCTGACGCTGTGCAGCCACATCTTCCTGGTCCGGGAGACGGGGGAGCTGGAGCTGGAGGAGGAGCTCTACGCCAAGCTCATCTTCCTCTACCGCTCGCCAGAGACCATGATCAAGTGGACCCGGGAGAAGGACTGAGGAGGGGGGCTCTCTTCGCCCCCCAAAACAGCCCAAGGGGGAGGGGGCCTGCAGCCCAGGAGGCGCAGCCAGGCTGTGGACCCAGCCAGCTGCCGGTCCTGGACACCGAGTCTTCCTACCCGCCCCCCTCCTCCACTGGAGGCTCTGGGTGGGGCAGCCCCCGTAACCTGAGCCACACCTGCAGCCCAATGCAGCTGGGGGGTGGGGGGACACAGGGGGACACAACACACACAGGACACTTTTTGAAACACTTTTCCCTTTTTTACAAAATCAAAAGACACTACCGGCTCCCCCTCCTGGGCTCCTGCTTCCTTCCCCCTTGGCGACCAGGAGGCGTTTGGAAACAAGGGCTGTCCTGCTGCCGAAAGGTCCAGAGCCCCCCCACCCCGGCAGTCTCTGACCCTCCCTCCCTCCCTCCTCCCCTCTTGGCCAGCCTCTCGCTGCTGGGAATCTACAGACTGTTTTTTCTATGGGAGGCCATTTTATTTATACAGATCTATACAATAAAAACAAAGCTGTGATTTTAAAAAACGGTGTGGTGGGAAGTCGAGGTGGACTTTGGGGAACGAAGGAGGAAAATTCCTCTGGTTCAGCAGCCGAGCTTTGGGGGCTCACTTTATCCAGAGGTCTGGAGCAGATTTGGAGGAGAGCTTAAATGAAATCTTGGGAGGTCTGGGTAGGGCGGGAGGGGGGCGTTATTGCCAAGAAGGAACCGGTTTTCCTTGGGACACGTCATCAAACTTCCGTGAACAAAGGCTGCTCCCTTTGTTTTAGGATTTGAATCCTGTGTACAAAAATAGATTCACTTCTATTCCGACTCACTTGTGCCTCCAAGGAGGTGCCAAACTGGACACATGTGAAAGATCTGGATCCTTCTTGGCTCAGTCTGGCCAGTGCTGAATCCAAAATGATTTCTCTGCTTGAAAAACACTTCTGGAAGTAGATTGTCAGGCCACGAAGAGCCACAAACAGTCCTCCCCCTGTACTCTTTTAGGCCATAAAGCACCCAGTGCAAATCAAGTGTCATCTTCAAGCAAGAATTCCTGGATTTCTTGCTTCATCGCAGCCCTGCAAAGAAAGTGGAAACAGGCATCACTGCAAATCCGGGTTTGCATATCACACTAGATTAGGGTTTGTTCAAATAGCACACCAGCTGCGGAATTCTGGGAGTTGAAATCTTAAAAAAAGTTGCCCTAGTTGAAATGCACTGGTCCATTGGATGACTCTCTGTTCCACGCACAGGAACAAGGGCATTCGTACAGGACTTCTCCTTCTGTCTTGGCCTCAACAGCTGCAGGAGTGCAAGTAGTGCCCCCTTCATTGCAATTCTGTCTCCCCTCGCACTGTTTTGCCAACTGCGTCCTTGCCACTAAGGTCTGGGCCACGACAGGGGAGGGCAGATGGAGCTCAGGTTGAATTGGTGGGGTCTTGGGGGTCTCTGAGCTTTTCTTCTTGCACCCATTTTGTTACTAGGCTGGGAAACAACATCAGTGCACCGATACAACAAAACAGCCACAAATGCCCAACCGTCTCTTTGGGCTGTATTTCTGCCCTGGGGAAGAGCAATGGAGCCTCATTTCTCTTGGCACAAATCCCTCCAGGCATCAATTTTGCCCCATACCTGCGTCGCTGGCGCTCGGCCTCCTTGTGAATGTATGCGGGGAGAGACTCCACGCAGCTCTGCAAAGGAATTGTTGGGAGTGAGTAAAGGCACGGTGATTCCACCATGCTTGTTACTTTCACAAGGGGTAGCCCCTTCATTACCCTCAAACTGTGGCAGAGCACCCCAACTGTCACCCACAGCCTAACCTGAAGTTCCTCCAAAGCCAGGACAAACTCACAGAGATTCTCCAAAATCTCACCAAACTAAACCTTTCGTCCAAAGTGAAGGCCCAACTGACTCCAGCCAGAGAGCTTTTGTCGTCAGCCTGGCCCCTTCTGCCTCAGGCCCAGCCCTGAGAGCAGTTGCACACCTTTGCGTCGACACCCAGGTGAGCCCTGGCTGCACAAACCCTTCCTTGCACACCTACCAGCTCCTTGACCGTTAGGCGGCAGCCATAGCAGAGCAACGGGACAAGCTGGGAGGTCTCTCTGGGGGGAAGAGCAGAACATCAGCCACCTGTGCCGACTAGTGGCTTATTTGGGGAGGGGGGGGGGGCTAAGGTGAGCAGGCGGGGTTATCCACACCCAACAGTACATTCTTTGTGGGGGCTCTTACCTTCCTGCTGGGGGCTCTTACCTTCCTGCTGGGGGCTCTCCGCAGCAACCCGCCTGGGTCCCGCCACCGCAACATCCCTCCGCAGCTGGAGGCCACTGGCTGAGCTTTTCCGAAAGCAGCGTGGCCTGCAAGGAGGATCCGTCCTCTGTCGGGGAACGAGAATTGCAGCCCCTGAAAGCTCGTCCTTGGGCCAAGAGGCAAAAAAAAAACCCCTTGGCAGCAGAAGCCGGGTTCGTCATGCCCCGCCGTGAGCGAAACTCGCAGCACCCAGAGCTCAAGGACCGAGTACGTCCCCTGGGTGCGCAGGCAGCCGCATCTTCATTGGTCAGTTCCAGCAAGCAAACTGGTTTGCATTTATCCCCCTGCCTGTTTGGCAAAGGATGGGAGGGAAAGACCCTCCCTACCTTCCAAAAAGGACCACCTGCAATTCTGGCGCCGTGAAGGTCTGGCTGCCATCTCAGCCCTTGTCCATTCTAGAATCCCAGCTGGTACCAAAAGTCAATCTAGAAGCGGGTCCCCCGTCCCCCCCCCCCAAAGAAGACCACTCACCAACATTGGTGTCCAAGGGGCAGAGGCAGAGGAGGCAGCTGGCTGGTGCTGTCGGCACATCAGGCTGGGCCTCCGGAGGGACTGCGCTCAGCTTCTCTCCTGTCCTGGAACAGAGGCCGGAGGGGGCATCAGGAGGAGAACTGGAGGGAAGCCCACCTGCTGCCCGACCCAGTCATGCTATCTGCGCCTCCTCAAGAGGACATAAAGTCTCTCTGGGATGAGGCACCACTTGTTTTAAGGAGGCGCTTGCAAGTCCGCAGCTGAAAGGGTCTGGCCCATGAAACGCAGACGGAGGCCTGAGCTGGATTTTCTGAAAACAAGTTTTTGTTTTTGTTTTTTTTAAAAAACCCTGCTTTCTAGTTTGCTCTGATTTGCCCAGAGAGGCCCAGAAACGTAACCAGAGCTGCAGAGGGTCCATGAGGGGTGTGTGGGAAGGGACACCACTGAGGAACATCTGCCAGGGACTCCGTCCAGCAGTTGGCTGTCATTTTACTGGACAAGGGGAGGGACACTCACCGGTAGACTGTGCTGACGGTGGAGGGAAATTCCAACTGCAGCTTGCAGAGAAAGGTCTCTATCAGGAGGTGGATGCTGGCTCTGTCAGAGGCCTGGGGGAAGTGAAATCATCGGTCACTTGGCCGCTCAGATCCTCCTGACCCACCGAAGGGGCCCCTCTGACCCCTTCCCCTCTGTCTCCAGCCAGAAGTCTCCACTCCCAATGGCCTACTTTGGTGTCCAGTCCAGGCGTGAAGACGGTGGGCACCCCGAAGAGGTAGTTGTAGAAAGCAATCTCTTTAGCAGGATATTCCCGCATTGGGCGCAGGATCAGGACATCCCCGTAGCGGCTGTCCAAGAAGCCCTTGGGGGGAGGAGAAAGGAAGAGGGAGGGGCAGCAGTGCCAGATCAGAGACCCGAAAGGCAGGGCTGCTCAGAGGCCACCGACACCCCTGCACCCCAACCTCTCCGGGAGATTCCGGAACAGAGATGGACCAGGGACAGCTCCAACTGGGTCATCTGGCCACAGCATGGAAGCCTCCGTCACAAAGGCTTCCTTGCTCCTCTTCTACGGTATTATTATTCTGTGTGTTTGTCTGGAAAAATATTCCTCAGGGGGCTCCTCCTGGGCGAAAGGGGGGGTCTCAGCCACTGGACTCTGGGCAGGTTTAGCCCAGGACTTTCCTTCCCGCTTCAAGGGCCAGGTTTGGCTTCATAAAGCTCCGGGAAGTGGCTTGCAAGGGTGGACATAGCTAAACCGAGGAGCAAGGCAAGCCCCAAACATTGGTGGGGAAACCGTGAGCCGCTTTGCTCTCACCGTGTCCATAGCCAGGAAGGCCCCCCGTCCCAGAGAGAGGTTGGTCAGCAGCTTGACGCTCACACGGGTGCAGCTGTCTCCCACCATCACCTTCGTGTATCTGTTTCTCCGAGCCACATGCAGCACCAGGTGGGTCCTAAAAAGCAAAGCGAGAGATCTCTCCCGTTCCAGCCAGGAATTGGGGATCCAACCAGGAGCCCAGAGAACGATAGAACGTTTGCTGTGTTCCTAGAAATACCACAGAATCAGCCATCTAGAAGGGCCAGACAAAACGGCCTTTTGGCACCATGAAACCCTTTCTAAGTCGAGTTAGGGGCTGCTTGCAAAGTCCTCCTTCTATCAGGACTGTCGGCCTGTTTCCTGGGGCTCCTGAGCCAGGATACGGCATCCAATGACCCTTTGCGCTAAGAGAACAGGAATGCACGAAGAAGGCCCCTGCCTAGCCCCTTTTGAGTTCTCCACTCTCACCCAGCTCACCCAGCTCACCTTGTGGGCATTAACACCTTCACTCAGGATCGGAGCAAGGAGCTTACCGGAGGGTCTGCAGAAGCTCCTCTTTTGCAGTTAGGGATTTGATGCCCGCAAAGAGGCGGGACAGATCTTGTGCGTGGGAAGCAAGGGAAGAGCCAGCCTCGTGCAGAGCCGCCAACCGTCCCGGCCACCAGCAGCCTTCCAGGCTACACTCTGCCAGCCGGTCCTCCAGGGAAGTCGCCGCGTCCTCCTCCTTCCTCTCCTCCCGCTGCTGCTGCTGCCACCTCAGGAAATCAGCCACTGCTTCCTTGTAGCTGGGTGCCTGGCCAGTAGCATTGTGGGAAAGGGAGCTCAGGACAGAAGTGGGAAGGTCAAACACCTACGAAAGAGCATGAGGACAGAGACTGGATCAAACACTGACTGAAGGAACGTGCGCCAAGCCCGCACAAACCTCAATTGCTTTTGACAGAGTTTCAGAACTAGGAATTCTATTTCCTTCCCGCCTTCTTAAGCTTAATGCTACTTTTCCCTTATTCTTTTCCTCCTAAAAGTGACAATGTTAGAAGCTCATCTATGTTATCCACTTCCCGTTTCGCAGTAAGTTTTCTCTGATCCTCTGTTGTTTGACTTCCATTATGCAAAAGTGGGCAGACTAATCTGGGCCAGAGTTAATTCTCAGAGCACAAAGGATTATACTTGATGGAAGAATGATAATCCTATCCTGCCTGCGGGCAGGACGCCTTTCTGATGTTCTAATTCAGTGTTTCTCAAGCTCAGAAACTTCAGGGTATGTGGAGTTCAACTCTCAGAACTCCCCAGCCAGCCCCAAAATTGCGGAGGATATGAAACTCTGCTCTAGTTCAATTTGCTAAACAATACTACCGTCAATAATACAGTTTCCTTCCAGGCAAATCACATCAAAGCAGCCAGTGCTGTTGATGCCATCCCATCAAAGTATGCTGCGGTGAGGGTGCTGAATCTCAGTTTACCTCCTCCAAGAACACCAGATGATAGGGGAAGCCTGTGGCTCGCAGGACAGCCTCTACCTGCCCGCAGGTTTTCTCTCGCTCATCCAAGCTCCGCCCACACACAGCTCCCTCTGCAGAGTAAAACCAAAACTGTCAGCAAGGTGAGGTGGCTAGTCGGAAAGAACTTCAACCGCCCTGGGAACATTCCCTGCCATGGGATCTTCAGCCATGGAAGATACTGGACCAGCAGGGAGTGACAACTACCCCATGCAATCTGGTGCTCCAGCCCGAAGGGAAAATGATATAAATATTTATATTTCCCAAGCCACAACATTTCAGTCGAAACAAACTGCCTGCACACTGACTTCGTCCCCCAAAGCAGGGAGAACGCACAGGGCTGCCAACACAAACCATCAATGTAGATTATTCCTGGTCTGAAGCGAAGTTTCTTGGCAGCTTCTCGGTTGAGGCCCTGACAAGAGAAAGCAAAGCAATTCAAAAACTTTACCCATGCTATCATGCTTCCTCTACTAGGGGCTTGTGCTGTTTGGCAGCCCCTCCTGCTTGGAAGTCAAACATACCTCTTGCACCTGCCGCAACATTGAGCTGGAAGCAAGACCCCCCGAAAAAGCCAGCAGAACCTAAAACAGCAGGGAGAAAGCATCGCCAAATTCGTTTCCTGTTTTTAGTTGCCATCCTGCCCGTCTCTCTTGCCCTGAAGCAGTAAAGGTTACGGCAGGACAGGACCTTCTCTCCAGGGTAAATGCAGCGATTCTTCCCCAGCATGGCACGGAACTTGTGAACGAAGTAGTCCTTGAAGCAGCCCCTGCAGAGAAACAGGGTGGAGAAAAGCCCACATTCATTGCCAGGGGGAAAAAAATCTGCACAGAGATGCAGGGGCCAGTTCTGAATTATTCGAAACTCTTCTCGTCACCCTCGGTTGCCCTGGTGCGCTTACTTGCAGAAGGCATCTCCAGCACGAATGATCACCACCGGGGAGGCCTCCTTGCACTTGACGCATTTGGAGTCACAGCTTGGAGGAGAGAAAGTGAAGACCAGGTTGCCACAGAGCCTTAGCAGACACCCACATCTTATGCCGTCCTCTCCGATACGGAAGTTGAGACGGTGGCAAAAAGCAAATCCCTCTTTCATATAAACAGTGTTTTATCTCAACCGTGGCAACTTATCAGAGGGGCAGACTTCAACGCCCAGAATCCCCCAGCCTATCCATCATCTCATCCCTTGGGCTGGGGAATTCTGGGAGTTGAAGTCTGCCCCTCTGATAAGTTGCCACGGTTGGTCTGAGCACCTGGGCCAAGTCATGGTTTGCTTAAGCCCAGTTGGCTGAACAAGCCACTCCTTAGGGCTAGAATTAGCCTCCCTGGGACTGGCCATGGTGCAGAGGTCCCCAGACTTGGCCACTGTAAGGCTTGTGGACTTCAACTCCCAGAATTCTCCAGGCTCTGCCATGGTGGCTTCTTCAACAAGCCATGGATTATTGCTCGGCCAAGGCTTCCTCACCGGCCCCGGGGCCTCTCCCTCGGGAGCGGCTCCTCTCCGCAGCCGCCCTGCCCGCCGTCGCACATCGCCGCCTCCGCCTCGGCCACGTGGAGCACGGCAGCCTCCTGCTGACACTGGGCGGCCTCCGCCCCCCCCCGATCGGGAGACCACAATTCCCAGAGGGCCCCTCGGCGGGGCCGCGCACCGCGATGACGCCACGTCGTGGGGGAAGCCTCGCGAGAGCCGCGGGGAGGGGAACCTCCGGGACCGTCCCAGCCTGGGAGGCGCCGAGGTCGCGGGGGCGATGACGTAGTGGGGATGCGCCGCCTCCCCCGCCCTCCTCCCCTTCCGCCATGGCGGCCGCGATGTTCCGGAGCTTGCTGGTGTCGGCGGGGGGGTCCCGCGAGGCGCCCTCCGCGGCCGCCGCCCCCGCCCCGCCGCCGCCTCACCCGCCCGAGCCCGGCGCCGCGCTGGAGGCCCAGTTCAGCTGCCCCATTTGCCTGGAGGTCTACCAGCGCCCCGTCCGCATCACCCCCTGCAGGCACACGTGAGCGGGGGGAGACGGGGGTCAAGGGGCCCGGACGGAAAGCGGCGGGGGGAGACCACGGGGTGCCCCCCAAGCCCCTTGCCGGGTGGGGAGCTACAGAGTTGACTCTCGTGGGGGGGGGGGGGAGGGGGGGGGGTTCCCGGGGCGGGCGGAGGGCCAGCGGGGCCAGGGAAGCATGGGGGGGGGAGGGTCCAGCCTCCCCTCTGGCCAAGGGGGGACCTGCTCCTGCATCCTTGCTTTGTAAGTTTATTGGGGGGGGGGGGGGGGAGGGTCTCCCACTTGACGCTTGGAGAGGAATTCCTCAGCCCGGGAAGCCCAAGTGGGGTGGGGAGGCGAGGGCAGGACTGCGGGCCTGGTCTTAGGAGACCTTCTTCCACAGAGGGCGGGAAATGTTCCAAAGTACCTTCTCGATTTTGCTGGGGCAGAGTTCATGAGCTGCTACGGGGGTCTCCAAACTCGGCAGCCTTAAGACTTGTGGGATCCTGGGAGTTGAAGTCCACAAGTCTCAAAAGATGCCCGCTATGGCGACAGACCCCTGACCTAGTAGACCTAGGGAAGTTGTTCTGTGTGTCTTTGGGCCTCCTCTTGGCTGAAGCCCACCAGCCCTCCCTCTGGGGAGAGCAACCCTTCTTTGCGTGAGTAGTTTTGCCCGAGCTCTCCAGCCTCTGGGAGCAACCAAGCCTCCTCCTTCCCTAGGTTCTGTGGGGAATGCCTGCAGCCCTGCCTCCAAGTTCCGTCTCCCCTCTGTCCCCTTTGCCGCATGCCCTTTGACCCCAAGAAGGTGGAGAAGGCCTCCGGGGTGGAAAAGCAGCTGTCTTCCTTCAAGGCGCCGTGTCGGGGCTGCAGTAAAAAGGTAACCTTTAAGGGCTCCTGTGCGTAGGTGCGGGCAGCAAAGCCACCCTGCTTTTGTGAGTGGCCTGTAGTAGCTTCTTTTCTAATCCTTCTGTGTGCCAGGTGACGCTTGCAAAGATGAGGTCTCACGTCACATCATGTGCTAAAGTCCAGGAACAAATGGCCAACTGTCCGAAGTTCGTACCTGTCGTCCCAACATCCCAACCTATTCCAAGGTATTTCCTTCTTTGTGGATTCGAGCCACTCCCCAGCTCGCTGGGTCCCAGGTTTTAGAATTCCTCCTGCACTCTCAAGCCACGTTAGGAGGGAGAGAGGGAATCAGGCATCTCTTTGATAAAAAAAAAAACCTGTAGATGTGTTGTCCTTACAGGTTGGTGTTTCTCAAGTAGCTTGAAGCTACGTAGACCTCAGTTCCTAGACTCCCAGAATAGGATCAATCAATTGGCAGAATTTCTCAGCCAGCATGCTGAACTTGGGTCTGCCCACCTTCCAGTCCCTGAGCTGTGCTGTTCTCCCTTTCAGCAATATTCCAAACCGGTCCACGTTTGTCTGTCCCTATTGTGGAGCGCGGAACTTGGATCAGCAGGAGCTAGTGAAACATTGCATGGAGAATCACCGCAGTGACCCCAACAAAGTGGTGAGTTGCATTCATGTCACCCCTGTTTGGTGAAACAGAAAGCCAAATTAGCAGAAAACTGGGAAGGAGAGGGAAAACTTTTGCCTATTTCCTCCTCCTGTTTATGCCATAGCTGGAGCGCCGTGCTCTGCTTTTGCAAACCAGGGAGGATAAATCACATGTCTGCATCTGCAGTGGCTGTGCTGACCTTGTCCCTTTCATTTTGTACATGGGAGCTGTAAAGAAATTAAATGCGTCTCGGGAACTGGGTGTATTTCCCTAGTATAAAATGTTGGAAGTGTCCTGGAGATCTAAAAGCAGGCCTCCCTTTGTAGCAGCTCCATTTAATTGCTCAGTTTGTGTATGATCTTGTGATTGTTTAGAGCTTTATTTGATGGTGCTGTTTAATATCACTTGTCCCCGAAATTTTATGGAGCAAAGCATATTAATACATCTGCATTTAGGGGGTTTCATAGCAAGGCATGCTTTTTCGAAGGTGTGCTGTGCAACAGGAAATTATTCTGTCATGTGTCCGTCCGTCCGTCCGTCCCCCAAAAAATCAAGCAATCACACCGTTGCTTTTAACTCTTTTCTTGGAATCGAGTGTTTTTTCTTCCTTGTTGACCATCCTCTTCTCTCCCTGGGTCTTCCAGGTCTGTCCAGTGTGCTCAGCCATGCCTTGGGGAGACCCCAGTTACAAGAGTGCCAACTTTCTACAGCACCTCTTGCACCGGCACAAGTTTTCCTATGACACGTTTGTGGTGGGTATTGCATTCCGCAGCGTCTTATTTCAATAGAGAATCTCCTTTGACAATAAAAGCAGATCCAATTGCCCTTGTGGGAGGAGTTATGGCTCCATTGGAGTGGTTGCCTCCTCCTGTTCTTTATGTCCTGCTCTTGTAAAGTGCTTGCCCTCCAATAAGGTCACCAGGATTGGTTGGTATCAGGGGCTGTTCTGTGCCCCCTGCACCATTATGGGTGTAACAATAGGCACAGGCTTTAAAAAAACCCCCGTTGTTCCCTTCTACCCTGTCCTGCTCAGATCGCACTTGAAATTACTGTGTCCAGTTCTAGCACCACAGTTCCCAAAGGACAGCAATACGGAAGGAAGACCAGCAAGAGGGTGAAAGGTCTAGAAACGGAGCCGTCCGAGGGAGGATCTGGACAGGCGACCTCTGCAGGAAAGGGCACTGAAGGAGGCCTCTTGTCAGGGTTCCAAGGAACGCACCCTTTGCAAGCATTGCAAGCTTCAGGGTTGGCACACCTATTGCTGAGAGGGCAGGAGCAGACCCGGTGGGTCCCAGTTACAAGGAAGGAGGTTCAAGCTAGACCTAAAATCGGTCAGCCAGAGGAAGAGATGAGGTGCCCTTCACTGGAGATGGGCAAGCAAGGCCTGGGTGATCCCCTTAGCAGAGGCGTAATAGTGGACTCTGCAGAGAGCAGGGGGCTCTAGATGACCTCTAAGGTCATTCTGGACCCCGGCCTGCCATGCGTGGAAGGTGGGGGCTCCTCTGCTCTTTGCTACGACACTCTCCTCCCTTCTTTCCAGGACTATAACATCGATGAGGAAGCGGCCTTGCAGGCAGCCCTGGCACTCTCCCTCTCAGAGAACTGAGGGCCGCTGACCCGGCCGAGCAGCAGACAGGAACTGTTGCCCATTTGCCTGGCTCTCTCCGCTGTCGGGGCGATGCGCCGCTCGTCCTGCCCATCGGCTCCCAGAGGGTGGCTTGTGGCCGTCTCCTCCGCTTTCGCCTTGCCTCGTTCAGGCAGGGAACCTCTTCCTCGGGGCCGGGGCAGCGAAAAGGGGTGCGTCCCTTTCCCCGGTTCCATCGGACCTGCTCTGTACTCTACCGGTCGGACGTTCCACACGCCACGAAGTACGGAGGTGCTTTTAATACAGTTTTAGCACCATCGGCCCTCATTCCATTAGCGGTTTATATAGCAACAAAACATTTTGTGGGGAAACTGTAGTTTACATTTTTTTTTAATTGCCTGTGTCTTTGGGTTAATTCACTGGATATTTTGTTTTATTTTTATTTTGGGGGGGAAATCAGCATGGGAGATTTAAATCTTGTACGAATATTTATTATGCGCTTGGGGGCCTGCTCCTTGGCCATCGTGGCGAGGGATTTGGGGATCAACGCCTGCATGGAAAGCAGCCTCTTCAAAGAGGCTTGTGATGCCCGAGCAAGACCAGGCGGCCATTCCTGACTTGAGCATAATTGTTTAGCCAAATCTCTCCCTCCGCTCCCCACGACTGACCTTGCCCGTTTTGTATCTGCTTTTGTGATACTCTAGAAGTTCTTGGTGGTTTTTTTTCTACATCTCTTCCTGTAACAAACACTCTTCACCTTTTATAGAGAGAATACAAAGCAGTTAACCCTTGATATCGCAATATCTGTGTTTGACTAGAAACAATAGTATTTTTACGGAACATTATTTTTCAAAGTATATTTTTTAAAGAAAAGTGCCCTGGGTTCCAGATTCTCGGGCCCCGTGGAGGAGGGTCCCATACCTGGAGGGAAGGAGGCGCTTCCTTTGGTTAAATTCTGAGCAATGGGTCAGTGGTCCTTTTTTAAGGGTTCGAGGATTTTTTGTTCTCTGCAAGAAAAAGGGGGAGGACAACTTTGGGGGGGTTTCTTCAAGCAGCCCTTTAAGGGGTTGTTGCAAGTTATTAAGCAGAACCTCTAAGGCTTTTATTATCCAGGTGGCCGGATTCTGGGTCAGTGGGCCTGAAGTAGGCTGGAAAGAAATAAAAGCTGTGAATAAGCTACAACGGGATGTGTCTCTGCGTCTTCAGAGCAGCCTTAGCGTTCGTTCATCTGTGAATCCATCTATGGGCGTTTCTGTGTGCGCGACAAACCAGTTTTGCAGTTTATTCAGTGAGGTGTGACTACAAACCATAGCTTGCTATACAAGCCAAGCCCCCCCAATTGAAAGTGGCTTGTCTTTGCTTATTGGGCTTGTGGAAACATGTCTGACTCGCATGTGCAGCTTGGTTGTCTGCTCCTGGAACAGGTTCTTTTTTGAGTATCAGGTAGCTGTATCAGTGCTCTGGTGATGTTTACTCAGGTGAGGCAGGAGCCCCGAAGCATTTATCTGCTGTGGGCCCACTCCTGTCAGCATCACAACCCTGGCTTGTGGCTTCTTTGTCAACCAGGCCTGGCTATTGCAGCTTTGATTACATGCCCTCCCTCCCAGCTTCCTGAGACCGGAAAAGGCGCAGAAACAGGAAAATGTGTCTCTGTTCAGAAAAAAATGCAAGGGAATTTTTGAATTTGGTTGACAATCAAGAGTTTGTCCTTCTCTTGTTAAACCTTTCTTCAATCTGATAGGAAGAAACTGGGGTTACTTGTTTTCAGAAGAATATTGCAGCCACTTCCATTGGTGTGTAAGATTTCTTTTTTTGCACTAACCTTAGGAACGGGGTGAAGGAAAGACGTATGCCAGTGTGCCCTTGCCACCCTCCTCCTCCTCCCCTATTTGCATCCCATATCCTTCCCCCCTCCTCAAAATTCTCAGGCTATTACCTGTTCTTCCTGGGGTTGGTGAGAGGAAAGGACAGTGCAGCTTTTGAGCCTTTGGTAAAGTCTCTGTTCTCTAGTGGGAGATCCACCCACCCACCCACCCACTCTTTGATGGCTTGACCTGAGGGTTCCCCCTCCCCCCCTTCAGCCCCCAACACCTTCCTGGTCCTAATGGTCCCTTTGGAGTCTCTCCAGGAAAGGCCGCATTCCTTAGGCCGCTGGGCCTTATATAGCCTCCTGCCATTCAAGGCCGCCTGTGCATTTGAACAGACATGATCGCTCCCTACCAAGTGCCACTTAACATTCTCCGCTAGGTAGAAGGGCAGGCCGGGAGCTCAGGCAAGTGCCCTCCAGCACAGGGAGCGGGGAGAGGAGGAGGCCACCCCTCCTGCCCTAGTTAGTGTCCCCTTGTGTAGGTCAGAGACCCTCCTGGCTCCTCCAGCTGTGCCCATTGGGAGCACCAAGAGAAGCTTTGCTGGAGGTGGCAGCATTTCTGGCTCACCTAAACCCACCCAGGGGCCCACCTGTTCTGAGGAGGGGTCTCTCTCTCTCAGGGACCAAACCCCAACCACGAGGTCCACCTACAGCTCTTGTGTCCACCAACTAAAAACATGGGTAGTGTGGTGGGTATCAAATTCTTACCCTATCCCAAAGCTGCCGTGTTGTCTTGCAGGGGTGTAGGAGAAGCCCCTCTCTGCCCAAAAGGGAGGTCTAGGAAACAGCTGCCTGGAAAGGTGGGGGGGGGGTTGCAAGGGAGTAAACAATAACAGGAGGCTGGCTGACCCTCTTGGTGCCCAAGGAATGCTCTTCCTCTGGTCCTAAAAATAGAACTGGCCCGTGGCTGCTGATAGGTATTGGAAATCAAAAAGAAAGGAATCCTTTTCATTCCCCATCCACCTTTGAGCAAGCAGGGGAAGGGGACCCCCCCCCCCCCCCCCAGGGCTGGGCTGGTACTTCAAGAAGAAACGGAAGCAGAGGAACTCCCTGGCCAGGTGAGTGAGCTGGCTGGGATGGGCTCCTGCAGCAAACCCCACCCTGCCTTTCTCATTCCTGGCAACTTCCAGGACCCCCCCTCCCAGTCCAAGGGGCTCTTCTGAATCCATGGAAGTTGGTGGAGCAGATTGCAAGCCCAAAGCCAGGAGAACAAGTTTTCTCTAAGGAAGCAAATGTCTTCTGAAGGATATTGAGGTGGAATGCTAGCCCGAATTCAAGTCCCCTCAGCCCCCCCCCCCCC